TCCTCCCCCCAAAGTCCTCTCTCCTCTCTCCCGTCATAAGCCCTCCCGCCCACCCCCCCCACCCCCCCCCACGAAGAAACCAATATCCCCGCAAATGAAAAACAAGGCCGGATTTGGGCCGTACTTGGCAAGCGCAGCAAACCCCCGTACAAAAAATAAAAAAATAAAAAAAATTGGTGGATTGTTTTCATGCCCGGGGTACCCCGGGCGAGGTACCTACCCAGGCGAGGTGCCCGGTGTGGCCGGCCGAGTGCCCCGGGAAAGCTAGCCCACAAACTTTTTTTTTTTTTCTTGCCTATTATTTTTTACGGGAAAAATCAGTGAAAAACGTGGCCGCTATGCGGCCGACCCTAGCCGCGGATGCGGCCATGAACATGACCGCCCTCCGGGCCTGACCCCGCAGCCACGGCCGCGAGGGATACATAAATCTTAACGAATAATGGTGCAGACTTTAGGGGGGAAGTTATCAGGAGCCTAGTCCCACATGCTGCCTCCATTCGGAACACCGCACCTCATATGTCTCAATTATATGACTTTGTAGAAAACGCGAACCGAGTAATAAAGAATGCTCTACGACGGAATATCGCGGCTAGGGACACGAGGCCCTGGCCCGAGATTGTAGAACACATCCTAGCCAACCATCAGGGGACACCCCACGAGTCCACAGGTCTGTCCCAGTTCCATGTACGGACATATAGCCTATGAAACGCCCGCAGACGTGTCCGCGGGCTCAGCCTCGGAGGGCGCACGTGATCACGGCCGCCGCGGCTCCGGCCGCGGTTGGGTGCGGCCGCGACTTTCAGGATTTTTTTGTGACCTTAAAAATTTATCAAAAAACAAAATAAAAATATGGGGTTGTAGATCGTTTCGAGATCTAAATTGTGTATATTTTTATTTTATTTTTTGACTTTGACTTCGAATAAAAAAAAATCAAAAACTACTTTTCCTGAGGCAAAAGCTGTTGTTGTTTTTTTTTTCGAAACAAAATCATGAAACATATGTGATTTTTTATTTTAAATTCAGTAACGTTTTTGGATATGACCACAAGGCAAAAGTTGTTCAGTATATTTTTCCGCATAACATACTTGCTTTTCGGAATTTTTTGAATTCTGTTTTTTTTTTTTTTTTTTATCATGGCCGCGGACCGCGGACACGTCTGCGGGGTCGCGGCCTAGGCCGCGGCTGCGGACTTGTCCTCGGATGGCCGACGCCAAGGGGGATTCGTAGCATATAGTCTGGCCTGCGTCTCTCTACCAATCCTAAAAGAAGAAACGAAATAGGGTCGACGGTCTACAAGGACGACGACTAAGGGACAAGCCAAAGGACACACGGACTGTCCAAAGGCTGACTGCGTTTTTTCTTTTGAGGGAAAGTACGATAATGTTGCCTTTGAGTATGGAATGCCTAAAAAACAAGCTTCGGCAAAAGAAACCCTGCCGAGTTCGAAAAGGCGACGGAAGTACCGACGGGTGTGGCATAAGACTGGGTGTCATATTTACAAGGGTCAGTCGTGGTGCAAGAGGCCCATTTCGAGTTTTGAGTTAGCGCGTGGTTGCTTTGCTTTGTCGGCGCAAGTTTTTCTGCCTTTAGGGTTTCAAAACATGCTGCGTCCACTGTTTAATATTTTCTTTTTTTTTAATATGAGCTCATACAGCCCCATGTATTCTTGGGTGGCAGCAGTCAGGTTGCTTATTACCGGCAAGCACAGCGAGCAAATTCACATGGTTTTCGGTTCTTACCGCACGAAAACCAAGGCCAGTACCGTGCGCTCAGGGAAAGCGATAGGGCGGCATTTTCACTCCACATCAGGCTCGTAGCCAAGTAGGGCCCAGGGAAACCTGCCCAAGGTTGGGTTGGACGTGGGATTAAGATACCCTTCCTGGGCGCACAACACTGGCCTGGGTTCTTAAGGGCACCCAAAAGCGAAAAGGTTTCCATGTGGGCGCTTTTCACCAATTATCCCAATTTACATATATCCAATATACCTGAATTTAATGAGGGCGTTGGCCCTGCATACCCCCTCCACTTCCTGTCTTCGGACCACCATGCTGTCAGGTGTATTGGATTCAATTGTAATAAGGAGGTCGTTTATTGCACCCTATCACGATACAAATCCACCGCGGTCCAAATCTATTACAACTTTTTTTCTTAGTTTCTTTTCTTTTGGGGGCTTAAAAGAACTAGCCTTCGAAAAAAAAAAAAAAACTGAGAGCGCTCGCGACTGTAAGGTTGTGAATTAAAAAGGAAAGCTGGGTAGTTGGGAACTAGCCTTAAGTCCACCAGAATGGCAAGGGTAACAACCCTTTTTTTTTTTTTTTTGATCCCTTTGATGAAGTTTCAGGCGGGGTTATTGTTGGAGATGATGAAAATGAGCCGTACAACTCAGAGATCTACTATTGCAGGGCTGAGCTCCTACTAGCAAAAAGGATAGAATCGAGCTCGGGAATCTGGATGTGTTTTCAGCAGAGATGCAGAAAAGCAGTTCAATCTCTATTTCCTTCAAAGGAACTTACCACCGAGTTAAAAAATGTTATGAAAGTACAACGGTCGTCGTGTCACGAGGGGTGTGATAACTACAGGGGTCGGTCGTGGTGTCAGACGGGCTAAGGGAGCAAAAACAAATTAAAAAAAAAAATAAAAAAAAATTGGGCCCCCACGGTTCCTTTTCTACCGAAACTGCATTGTCGAACTATCAGCGTTGATGAAAAACGTTGAGGTTCATCAACGCCTGAACGAGGACGTGTTTGTGAAGATGTGCAGAAACGGCATAATTGAGCTTGGCGCAACCGTGCATGGGCTCAAACACATCCATACAGTAGCGTTGACTGCAATCAAGGATATGGCTATAGTGGGACACTTCGTAGCGTCGAGGTACAAAAAAAAATTAAACAAAATTGTACAATTTTAGAGATGGAAATTTTTTTTGGCACCGCCCGCCTTTGATCTGTAGGATATTGTAGATCATTACATGTCGGATTATTATGTATAGTTTTTTTTTTTTTTTTTTAAGTAGGACATGACACTGATTATTTTTGAAACAATGTTGTACACAAGACACATGTAAACATAAGAATGTAGTCCACATCTCACTAGCAGTCAGAATGAATTGAAACACCGAGTCAGTCGTCGTGGATGATCTGGTAATGAAAGTGAAGTCGACAACAGCACATGTGTCCCCATTACAACACAGTTCTAAGACACGTGAAACGCGTTCTATGATTTATGATGTTGGATGTATTGTTTATAATATACGGCATAGTATGATCTATGATATACGATATATGATCCACGATGCAGGCGATATACACCGAGTCGGTCTTGGTGGATGATCTGATAATGAAAGCGAAGTCATATGACAACAGCACATCTCTCCCCATTACAACACAGTTCTAAGACACGTGAAACGCGTTCTATGATGTATGATGTTGGATATATTGTTTATAATATACAACATAGTATGGTCTATGATATATGATCTATGATCCACGATGCAGGCGATATATAATCTAACACATGTAAAAAATGATCTGTAACATTAAACCATATGATATTTAATGTATGGTCTTATACTAAATGATGCATGATCTATGATCTATGATATATAAGATATAATCTATGATTTATGATAATATGTGGTATATGATGTATGATGTATGATATATGATCTATGATATATGTATGATATATGTATGATATATGGTCTATGATATATGATCTATGCTTTACGATATATGATCTATGGTAAATGAAATATGATATATGATAAAGGATTTATAGTCTATGATATATGATCAATGATCTATGATATATGATCTATGACATATGATATATGATCTATGATCTATGATCTAGGATACATGATGTATGATCTATGATATATGATCTATGATGGGACCCTAATAACATATACGGTACACCTTCACAATATTCGGCACACCTTCACAATATTCGGCACCAATTTCATACCAAATTTGAGTGAAATTTGATTAAGTTCAATTTCGTGTTTTAAAAAAAATGTCAGTTTTAACGAAATGTTAGTTCTATGGTCCTTGCTCGGGTGGTAACTAGAACTATGCCAAGTGAGATCGGAACTTCTACACCTCAGGAAGCCGTGTCTGCAAAAGAAACCTACACGAGCCGGTTTACAGAGAGTGCGTCATAATCGAAATCACTAAGGCTACGTACACCGACAACACCAATTGGAAGGGGGAGGACCGTATCATTATTAGGACAACTTGAAGCCCATGAACATGATGAGGATCAAATATGCAAGGTCAGGGCGTTTCTTCCAAGTCTCACAAGTCACGTCGAAGAGGTCTCATAAGTCACGTCGGTGAAGTCTCATAAGTCACGTCGGTGAAGTCTTATAAGTCACGTCAGAGAAGTCTCATTGGCTTGTAACACACGCAAGGGTTTTTTTTTAAGTCAAGATCAATTCCTCGAATTGAGTGAGAGCCGCGGAGAAGATTATGACCGTGACCACAGTCATTCATCCATGTGTTCGTCCTTGGCCTGCTCGACTCCTTCTTTGTCCGCTCGTAGAACAGCGAGCATGACATGCGGATGCCGGAAAGAAGTTCATGAAATCGGTATGGAGGAGTGGAAGATAGATGGGGAGGAGGGGGGTGGCAATGGTGAGGAGGAGGGTGAGGAGGAATGCATGAAGACAGAAAGGAAGAGCCTAGGAGGAGGAGGAGGAGGAGGAGGAGGAGGAGGAAAAGGGGAACAAGATGGTGATATGGGACCGACAAGCACCTCCTCTCCTCCTCCTCATCGGCCTCCTTACCCTGCCCTTTTGCAGTAGCTTGATGTCCTTTGGGATGCAGTCATCTCTCTTTTTATTTTCCATTCTTGATTGAAACCCATCGTCGTGAGGTAAAAATAAAAATAAAAAGGAAAAACTGACCGTGGGTCACATTCTTAGCTCGAAATGGGCAGAAAAAAATAGGTACCAGGGGCGGAGTCCAGACTCGGCAAAAAAGGCAGACACATGGGCAATTCTTTTTGTTGTTTGTTTGTTTCAGGCCCTCTGCACACCACGGCCAGCCTTTGTAGTTATGGCATGGCATTGCGGGCTTATCATAAATGGCCGCGTGAAGTTGGCAGCCTTTTCTACTGCAGCCATTGAGGGACTTGTCCGAACTTGTGTTTTTTTGTCTGTTCCAGCCTCCACGCTCGCATCGGGGGTCTTGAATGCTTAAGGGGACTCTACAAGTTTCCTAACTGCGGAATCTGGTCACCAATTTCTGGTCAGATACGCCCTGGGTCAACATTGCCCTTCCTGCCAATTGATCTTCAAGTCTAATTAATATAGACTATTCATAGCTCTCATGTGACAGGTTGAACAAGTGTGAAGCCTATTCGCTATAACCGGCATTCTTGTATTTTCCTTAACTGAGTTCGGCACCGAAACGGGTGGACGGAGAATCATGATTTTTCCGCTGTGGATCCATCTTCATGCTGACGGCAACCTCACTGCCTCCCATGGAGGATTCGACGTTCTGCATCTCGGCCACGCCTGAGTCGCTAACCAGCTCGGTGGCTGCTGAGTCGTCATCCAACTCTGTGGCTTCATGAAGCACCATTCCCCGAGCGGTGCTCAGGACAGACGCTCGACCACCCTGTTCTTCAGCGCAATGGGTGGGCGAAGAATTACCATTTTTCCGCTGTGGATCCGTCCGGATGTCGACATTCACCGCACGGCCTTCCACCACGGGTTCTCCGCCTTTCTCATCGCCATGAACCGGAGCTTCCACCGCGGGTTCTTCTTCGTCTTCATCACTGCTAAGAACAGCAGCTTGCACGGACGTCCACTTACCTCCCTTAACGACACCCTCTCGCGTCGTGGCCACAGCCGAGCGACTGTGCAGAACCTCTTCGGACGTCCCGATCACCAGCGCTCGTGCGTGGAGCCACTTCAAGTGTCCACGAGCCGGCCCGTGTCTCCTCTCCTCTCCCCGTTGTACAGCATGCGTTTCCCCCGGAGCTCCTGCACTCTCGCTGACAGTGTCCACGGACGCACCCTCCGAAGCATGACGTTCACACTCGCTACCCCCGGTCTCCATTACTTTGTGAGACTGCCAGCGTTGAGTCTCCTCTTCCCGATGTACAACACGCATTCCCGAAGAGCTCTCGTCTTCCCCAGGAGTGTGACGTTCGTTCTCGCTACCCCCGGTCTCCAACACTCCTGGAGCGGGCCCCTCCAGCACGTCACGAGACTGCCAGTCTCAAGTCTCAATACATGAGAAAGGAGGCGAGCAGGGTAACCCTGTGTCCAACTGAAGATGCGGGGGCTAGGATGTCACATTTTCTTGGCCCCGCGGAACTGTTGCGTGAGGAGCACTTATGGCGTAGGGCGACGGCAACAAATCCGAATGTATTCGGAGTTTGTGGCAGTCGCCCGAGCCGAGGGAACCGGAGGTCGCACCTTCGCTTCTTCGCAATGCAGGCATCCCGCCCTCCAGGCAAAACGAAGACGCGCCCTCTTTCAGGAGCAAGGTGTTGAGCACAGGCGACCGTTGATGCGCATGGCGGGATGGACTCTCCTGGGCAAGGGGAAACAAACTCCTCGTAGACAAGTGCGAATCTACTCGCACTTAATCAGACGTCCGGGTGGCCTCGTCTCGCATGTCGGAATCTCGACTCCCTACGCAGTGGGGGTCAGTTTCCATATATTGGGGACTCCCGAACGTTTTACGCTTTCCGCCCGACCCCTTCCCGCCCGACCCCTTCCCGCCCGACCCCTTCCCGCCCGACCCCTTTCCGCCTGACCCCTTTCCGACGGACGCCTTCTCAACCGACGATGTCTTGCCCATCCCCTTTCCGGCAAACTGTGAGCCGTCTCCTCCGCCACCTCCGCCGTCTCCTTCGTCTCCTCCACCACCCCCTCCCGGATGATGACCGACCGGCGGGGGTTGCGGCATGCGCCAGTCAATGCCACGAGACGGTGTCGTTTCGAGTGCGTAGAAAGGCGCTCAAAACTCCAACATGTTGTTGGCGTACAACTCATGTAGCCTTTGTTCTGCATACGCATCGACGTTCTGATTGTTTCTCTTGGGGTTCATGAGACTCAAATGCTCCACCAGAGCAGTTCTTGCCTTTCTCTTAAATGCACCCGCTCCCAGTCTCTTCAGTCCACTCCACTTGCCATCGCCCTCCTTTATTGCCATGACCCATATTCCATTCCTCACAGCAGGTTGGAATATCCGCGGGTGCCAAACGACGTTGTGTCCCCAGACATCCTCCGACGTGAACCGGTGATGCTTGCCGAAGAAGTAGAGTCTGTCATTCTGCCAGGTGTCATGGTCCACAGGGAGTCTGTCACAAGGTTCGTGATCATAGTCTCTCTCTTCCTCCCCGTCATCAGACGATTGGTCGTCGACTGGTTCGCCCCGAAACACACGCTTCAAACCGGCAGGGGACGTGCTATATCTTCGAGGGCTACCTTCCTCTTCATCACCAACCTGTCCAACCACCCGAGGAAGTGGCATGGACTCAAAATCGAAGGTTTCGGAGTCGCTCAGCTCCTCCATGTCGTCAGCGTCGAAAGGGTCCTCGTCGTCGAATTGTGACTTGTAGTTTTCGAGAGTGAGCGGTTCGGCCAGCGTGAAGTAAACGTGCTCCAGACTTCTAAGGAAGTGCGAGACAGACTCCCTGGGTGTACCGTGGTACCCATTGAGCACAACGAACACCAGGTTTCTCCGTCGACTGTATTCGAGGTCGGTCGGACCAGGCAGTCCGGGTCCGAAAAGGAAGTCCCAAACGTCCGTCCTTTTGTTCCCCGACAATTTCCAATACATGTCACGTTTGGGATCCCAGTTTCGTTCGCCGGTGGTGCGGGCAAACTCGCAAGCATTGCGAGTGTCTGCAACTCGTGCCTTCACGAACTCGTGAAGGTAATCGATCATCTTCGCCTCCTTCTCCAACGCGACGACGTTCCGACCGGTGCGCAGGAGTTCCCACACGACAACCGCATGCGCCTTCCCAAAGAAAAAAACAGTTTGACCAGCTTTGCAAAAGTTTACGAGTAGACCAAGTAGACGGGACGGGTTCCGCTCCATCTCCCCGTAAGCAGGTCCTTGAGAACTTGTCACGCTGCCATCCTCCCACATGCTACGAGAGAACCTTTCCTCTTCCGCCACGTCGAAACACGCCACAGCCTGTCCTGATGGGTCCGCCACCGTGTGTTTGGCCGGACTTGGACCATGAGCACGGAAAACCTTTGTCGGGCTACTGGTCGGGTAGACTGCGAATGTGTTGTCTTCCAGCTTCTCGCCATTAAAAATCACGTACAGGCGGTCACACTCCTCAACCAGCATATTGCCTTTCCGGACAGTGGCCTGCTTTTGTGCATTATGTACCCACTTCCCTGTCCTGACGTGATGGACGCTAAGCCTGGCCATGCCTTTCAAGAAACTGAGCTCCCAACGAGAGGGGAAAAAGATCACAAGTGCCCAGTGCGTTGGCGAAAGTGTTTGTAGAAGGCCTTGCAAGTTGGCGAAATCGTCTTCTCGCCAGTCTGTGAGGAGTGTGGGATCACACAAATTGAGGACGTACAGGTTGCACACGTTATGTCGCACAACCTCATGGATCGCAGTGACATGACTGTGAGCTTGGGAAGGCGGGAAAGCGAAAGGAATAAGGCTGGTCACCCGGTTGAGATCGGGCCATTTGATGTGCCTCACATCCCCGCTGACCCTGATCGTGTCTCGAACTTCTTCTTTCGTCCGTCGCAAGATGGAACGGACAGATTTTTCGAAACATTTAGGGAACCTGTCATCATCATACAATTTCTTCGCGTCGTCGAGGGACTCCTCGTGCGGAAGAGTACGTTTGCAAGTGTTCACGTACTCCACCGCGCCTTGGAAATGCTTTTGCATTTCGACCCACACCTGTTTCGTGAGGCCCAGCGACCCGTACTCCTCCAGAAGCTTCCCCTCGGTCCGAAAAAAAAGGGCTCCCGTGGCGCCAAACACGTTCGTCCTCCTCCGTTTCAAGGAACAAGATGTAGTGGAACATACGGAGCATCACACACTCCACTTTCCTCGTCGCGACCATGTCTTTAATTCCTGGTTAATGCTGACGCTTCAGATGGCCACCCGCGGATTGCACGAACACTCTCCTTAGCGAGAAAATGTCGTCAAGGATCGACAGTTTCTCGGCATCGGTCATGTCGGCGAGACACTGCCAACAGAACATGTCTGGCTCCTTCATGACCACGAAAAACTTGTCGTCCGCTTGCATTTTCTTTTTGGTCGGAGGCGGCGGGACTCGGACCAGCCAACCCATCTTCGTTTCACCAGCCGCCCCTTTCGAGCTCATTTCCGGAATTGCTTGCAGACCCGGAGATTTGTCTGGCATGTATTTGCCCGGCCTCGAGAATGGCGTCTTGCCATCGCCGCCCAACAACTTCCCCTCCGCCCATTTCGCATAGAATTCCACGACTTTGCGAAAAACGTCGTCACCGGCCGTCACGAGCGGCATCCACTGCCTCAATGCATTGCCAATTGCAGCGACATACTCCTTGTCGGTGAGCGACGAATCTTTTTGTGCCAACGTCCAGTGAGCTCCATTCGGACTCTTTCCCAAAATCAGCTTTTGGAAATCGAAGAACTTCTGTTTTTCGGCCTCCTTGCCGGAAGGGTTCCCTTGAATGGCCACCGACCTTCCTTCATTCTCCCATGCCTCCCGCATGTCCAAGAACGAGGCCCTTCTGCGATCGCTGCTTAGACATCTTGTGTCTCGTGTTCTCGTTGAGACTGACCTGCCTATACCCCGTGAAATCTCGGTCGGAGAACCACACTACTCTCGCCGGCCACGAGTGCATCTTCCACAAATTGAATATTGGCTCACCCTCCAAATCCTCCACAGCAGTCACGGTGTGTTGTCTGTTAACAGGGTAATAGTAGTACTTGTCCATGTCCTCTGGCTTGAAGACATCTTTGTGAAACTTGTCAGCTTTCTCCGGTCTACGCGACACCGACTTGTAGATGGGTGCCAAAACTAGAGGGTTTTTCGTCCAGATCTTTTTCTCGCAGAATTGACTCAGCATCGTACCCTTGATGTCGTCCACAGTTTCGCGACTTAGACTGCGGTGGTTGTAATATCTTTCCCAAGCCGGGATCTCGCATACCTTCTAGGGGTCGATGAGCATTTGGACGGGGAGCTCCTTCTCCACGATTTCACCGACATCGTTCCGCTTGTATTCGAGCCAGAACGCTACCGCTTCATCGTACTCCTTACCGACAGGCCCTTCGCCACCGCTCGCCGCCTCAGCAGTCTTTCGCCTTCGAGTTTTCTTCTCGCCATCGCCTTCTTCAGCTGCCACTTTCCGTTTCGATTTCCCCGAAGGTTCTCTCGCGGCCGCAGCGCCTGGATCAGTCGAATCTCCTCCACCCGTGGCTTGTCCTTCTCAGATGGTCAAACCGTCGGGCTCGTTTTCTTACTTGTCGTCCCACCCTCTTCCTTCGTCGGCCTCTTTCCCGAGGCACGTTCTCCGTCGCCACCTCTATCCCGCCCATCACCGCCTCCGGTTTTTCTCTCATCCTCTTAATGCAGAGGGTTCCTTCCGCCACCTCTTCTCGCACCATCCTCTGTCGCTCGATCTTCTTCTCCGAAGGAGTCTGCTCCCCGCCAGAGCTTTCGCGGACAGCGTCCATCCCTTCAGCCTCATTCCCTCCAACATCTAGCCCCGATATGCTTGAATCTCTTCTCGTCTCATCTCGAAGCGAATACGTGTCGGTGCCGTAGCGAACCTTGATAAGTTTCGGAGTACCGACCCGTTGAGTCCCGGTACCTAGAGAATGCAAGTCCGACGTGTTCGTAGGAGCATCCGGGCCGACCTGCGTGTGAACGCTGCGTCCCTTGACCCGACCCCCAGCGTCTTGAATCGGACTCCCGCGCCCCACTCCCGTACCTGGAGTTTCTTGAGTTAAGCCGGACGACCCGTCACGGGGTGGCAGAAGCCGGAAAACATGCTCTGGCAGAAGAGTCGGACATTCTCTGGGAACCATCAGCGCGAGATCGAGATATTGCTCTGGCGATGGAAGACGCTTGCTGCCGTCATCGTAAAGGCCTTTGAAGTGAGAGCACAACACCATTTTCGAGCCGTAACCCGCGAAACTCTTGATGGTCACCAGCACACCTTTAACACCTCTAATAGGCAGTCTGCACTCATCGTACATGCCGTTAGTGTGCAGCTTGAGCAAACCTTTAGGAGTCTTCGCGCACGAGACAACGGTACCGAGAGGAACAACGTTGACCGCTCCCCCAGCGTCTGTAACGCAAGTGGGTCGCATGAAAACAGCTGACCCAAAAAGGCCCCCCTCAACAACGAAGTCCAAAAACCATTGTGCTCCCTTTGCGTGCATATACTAAGGAGTAGGTTCCTGTACAGGTTGTCCCTCCCCGGGGGCAGATGGTCCAGCGCTTGTGNCCAAAAACCATTGTGCTCCCTTTGCGTGCATATACTAAGGAGTAGGTTCCTGTACAGGTTGTCCCTCCCCGGGGGCAGATGGTCCAGCGCTTGTGRATGTGTTCTTTGCGGACGCCATTGTATTCCCACCCGTTGACTAGCACGCCCAACCTCAGACCAACTCGGATGACTAATACGCCCAACCCCAGACCACTACAGAAGCGAAGTGCGAACTAACTCGGACTTAACGAAATGGAGGACGAAAAGCACGTAAGAGATGGGTGGTCGAAATGCACACGAAGTCACAACAATCGGGTGAAGGATAGGAAAGACAGAAGTTTGGAGGGAAGACGATAAGTGTTCGGAAAGATTGCGACCCAACTTGATGCCCTCGAAACGAGTAAGATGTGGTTTATCGACAAATGCGAAGGGTGTCGACAAGTGCGAACTAACTCGCAGCTCTGTAGACAAGACAACAATGGCAACCCGCTGCACTAGGGGAAAGTGCGAACTGACTCGGAATTGTAGAACTGAAGACCTGAAAGATGCACGAAACGAGTAAGATGTGGTTTATCGACAAGTGCGAATCGACAAGTGAGAACTAACTCGCAGTTCTGTTGACAGGACGACAATTGCAACCCGAAGTACAACGGGAAAGTACGAACTGACTCCGAATTCTGGAACTGAAGTCCTGGTTTATCGACAATTGCGAAGGGTTTCGACACGTGCGAACTAACTCGCAGTTCTGTAGACAAGACAATAATGGCGATGCGCAGTACTAGGGGAAAGTACGAACTAACTCGGAATTGGTGAACTGAAGACCTGAAAGCCGCACGGGTTGGGTTGTCAACTCTCCAGCAGTTTTGTTAAAAAAATGCGAACTAACTCGCATTTGTGGAAATAAAGAACTGCCTTTAATGAAATATGTGTCTAACCTTGGGAAAACTGCGAATAACCTCGCTGTTGTCACTCCTCGAACCCTGTACGTCGCAAAGTGCGAACTGACTCGCAATATATCTCTCTATATATATGTGTATCTATATGTATGTATATATATCGTCATATATATATATATATCAGGTCGACGACCTGACAACGGACAGGTGAGTGAAAATCGGGAATAGATTCGGTGTTCAGTGTAGCAACTAGGTATTCATTCGGGGTTCGCCATGCGCAGCGATGACTGCAACTTGCAAAGGGGATCAAGCAGCTTTATAGGAACGTTATTGTGGCTATGGCGAAAGGTAATCGAGTTGCGGAACGCGGATCGGCTATGGCGGACAGAGGTGGAGGGTGAAGAAAAGAGATCAGAGCACGTCCACTGGTGAAATAACAAAACCGGGAATTGATTCGGGGTTCAACAGAACGCGGCTGCGGCGTTATATCCTGCAGGTACAAACAGGGCATCTGGGAATGTGTTCGGACATGACAACTCAAGTTATATGATTTTGCCTTCGTCGTGTGTTGAGCGAGCAACCAACCTCCGAACCAGCTATGGTGGAGGGATATCGAGCTAGGAAGAGCGAAGACCGAGGAGCGAAGAGCGAACCGAACACAATGTGGCAACTGCGGACGGAGCGAAGAGCGAACAGTGAGCGGGCTATGGGGGAAGGTGGTGGGGGCTGAAGACCAAATATCAGAACGCGTGCGACTTGATATGTGGAGCGCCAACAAAAGGGATAACTCGAGGGCTGCAACGCCTTTTATACTTTGTTGCAGCAGGCCTCGCGTCGGGATCAAGGTGGGGCTAAATCGATTCGCATATCGCACCCCTGGGCCCATAAAACGCCATCAAGGTGGGGCCGAATCGATTCGCGTATCGCACTCCTGGGCCCATAAAACTCCAGGGCCTATAAACGGTAAGGGGTACCGAAAATTGTTATCCGTCGATCAACAATTTTCAACCGCGCAGATGAACGGAGCCACTGTTATGCCAGTGGCCCCAAAATATCCGTCTACTCCGGTGTGCAATGATGTAAAAGTTCCCGAAAACAAGCGGCAGGCAATGTCATTTTCGCAGTTGTAATCTGGACCCTCGATTGACAAGATCTGACGCACGAGGTTAGGCGCAAGAATCTATAAGGTGCGGCGATTCGTTGTGCACCGAGGCTGTTCGTTGCGCGCCGAGGCGAGGCGACGGTTTATTTCCCGCCGAGGCGCGACAATTCGTTGTGTGCCGAGGTCAAAAACACCGGAAATCTATAAGTTCCGGTGTTGCTGTCATTCACACATTTTGCAAATGTCAACGGTGTTCGATATCGATGCACTTAGCCATGCACCATCGTTATCGATGCGCTGAGCTCATTTCCATAGCCAACACTCGCCGTGCACCATCGCCATCGATGCGCTTAGCTCATCACCATCGCGACGCAAAGCTATATCCCTCATCGCAGCGCTGGCCATCGCTGCGCCATCGCAACGCCATCGCAACGCTGGCATGATAGCTGCCATCGCGACGTTGGTTCCATCGTTGCGCCATCTCTCAGTCGGTGCGCCATCGCTATCGCTACGATCGCTAACGCTGCCTTCGCTATCGCTGTTCAATCGCTGCGCCATCGCTATCCCTGTTCCATCACTGCGCCATCGCTCTCCACCGGTGCGCCATCGCTGCGCAATCGCTATCGTTGTTCCATCGCTGCCATCGCTATCGCTATCGCCGCATTGTAACTCGTTCCATCGCCACGCCATCGCTCTCCACCGGTGCGCCATCGCTCTCCACTGCAGCGCTGGCCATCGCTATCGAAGCCCTGGCCAGTGTTATCCCACCGCAGCGCTGCGCGATTTCTCTCTCCATCACCGCACGATCTTCCTCCATCGCTGAGTGATCAGTCTCCATCTCAGTCCATCACTGCGCGATCTCTCTCGACAACTGGGAAACCTCCATCCTTGCCCCTGAGGCTCTCCATTACTCGTGCGCGATCCCGCCATCGCCATTGTATTGTTGTTTCAGGCCGTCGTCGGTGCAGCCGTCCATCACTGTGGAATCGCATAAAACAGGTGACAGGTATGCTTAACGAAGGTTTAACTCGATGGAACTGATATTGTGCAATAACAAATCTTGGTCATCGCTGTGCCTTCTCTCTCCATCGCTGCGGCATCGCTAACCATTGTTGCGCGTCCTCTCTCCATCTCTCTCCACCGATGCATGATCTCCACCGACCTTTCGTCATCCATCCCCATCGCTGAGGTATCTTTCCTAATCTATCTCCTTCGTCATCCATCTCCTTCGGTGCGGTATCTTTCCTAATCTATCTCCTTCGATATCTATCTCCATCGCTGCGCTATCTTTCCTAATCTATCTCCATCGTCATCTATCTGCTTCGGTGCGCCATCTTTCTCCATTGTTGTGCTATCGCTAACCATCGCTGCGCCTGCTATCTCCATTGCTGCGCCATGTTTCTCCATCGGTGCGCATTCTCTCTCTCTCGCTGCGGCACACCTCCCAATCAGTTCGCAATCTCTTTCCCTTCCTGCGCGATCCACCTTCTTCCTCGGAATATACAACGCACTTTCATTACAGTTGTCTTTAGACTGAAAGTTGACCCGAATTAAGATGTAATGACCGGACGTTGTATTCGGGGGAAGACTGTGACTCCATCCATCTCTCTTGGTGCACCATCTCTCTCATTCGGTGCGCCATCTCTCTCCATGTATTTTCATCGATGCGTCGTCTGCCCATCGCTTCGCAATCTTTTTCAATCTTAAAAAATAGCACGCCATCTTTTTCTATTTCTCTCTTGCGACGATTTCTGGCTCGTACTACATGCAGAACAAGCAGAAACAACTTGCACTTGTACCCGCAGTTTCGTAATGGAAATGCTCGTTTACAAGTGCGAATTCATTCGCTCTTTAACCAACCAACCCCTTAATTTGTCACTGTTTAGTCCATAGGTCAGAATTAACTCGCACTTGTACCCCCAGTTTCGTAATGAAAATGCCCGTTTGCAAGTGCGAATTTATTCGCTCTTCAATCAACCATCCCCCTAAATTTCTTACTCTACTGTCCAAAAGTCTCAATTTCATAGTGGAAATGTTCGTCTGCAAGTGCGAATTTATTCGCTCTTCAACCAACCATCCCCCCAAATTTTTGACTCTTTAGTCCACAAGCCCTTGTTTCATAATGGAAATGCTCGTTTGCAAGTGCGAATTTATTCGCTCTTCAACCATCCATCCCCCTAAATTTGTTCCTTTTGAGTCGATAATTCGCGTCTCTTCTCGGCCCAAAAGAATGAAGTCGTTTTGTATTTGCGAGTTAACTCGGCACTGAACCAACCACGAAGGCAATTTCTTATTGCACGGCGTAATCGAAATGTTCCTCTGAAGTGCGAATTTTTTGGCACTTGAAAATTCTCGCTGTTTAGTGGATAATACTGAATCGACTCGCACTTGTGTTCGGTCTTGTTCCGACCATGAACTTAATTTCTTACTGTACGTTGAAAAAGTCCGAATCACCTCGCATTTGTACTCTCGCCTGAAAAAGTGCGAGTTTACTCGGACATATCCAAACCACTTGCACATTGAACGAGTGGGTGAGGAGTCGGACTTGATATACCACTTGAGCCTCACATCAGGGTCCGACAAAACGATATGGATTCAAATGTTGTTGTTCCATTGTTTTGTGATAAATATTTGAAATGTGAATTTCCTCCCTCCACCGCCACCGTCCCGACAACACGGAGAAGACGATGTTCGAGAACGTAGTTCTTGTGACAGCAGCCCGGAAGCTCCCTCTGATCGGCATTGCGGTTTGAAAAGGGAGTTCTCGATGTTGACCCCGACGAATCATTCAGGCTCGTCTACGACGTCCGCCCGACGTCTTTTTGTTCGCTTTACCGACGTTCCCGACGGTTTGCGCGTATCTACAGCGCTAATCCCTGGTAGTGAGGGTGTTCGGGATGTCGAGACGTTTCCCGGTGGGTGGATGTTCGTGGACACAAATTTTTGTGGTGTGTCCGAAACGACTGGATCAGATCTCGTGCGGACAGCGGGTAGACTATCAGAAAGCATTGAAGTTAACAGTCGATCGTTGGTGGACACAGACTTCAGAGGTACGCCCGATAGAAACGAATCTGATCGGGAATAGTGCGGTGCATTTGGTAGAAACGGGTATGATAGGGACCAGGCAACGGTACGTGCGTGTGGAAGTGCGAAGATAGGTAAGAGAATTGCATGTGAAGCCGGAATAGTTGGCTCTCCGTCGATGACAGCGACGGGTGCAATGGAAAATTGGCAGACTAGTTTTGTAGACACAGATTTCTACAGTTCATCGGAATCCTCCCAATCTGATTTGCCGAGAACCGCTCCCACGGACAGATCGAAATTCCTAGGTGCAGCGCATGGGTCCCCGACCACAAGCCAACCTGGAACTCCGGAAGCAGTCCTTCAAGTTTTGTCCCATCCCCAGAAAGGAGAAGATATAATCGGAAAAATAGGCCGGTTAGAAGGTCAGAGCATTCGAAGAGGGCCAAAAGTCGATTGAATGAAACTAACATTACGCTCGTCCCGACGTACAAATGTTGTAAGAACAAGTGTCTTCGGGTCTTGACCATTGACGATATTAAACCGGTGCGCGAAGCCTATCACGAAATGTCCCTCGAAAGGAGGATCGAGTGGTGGATGCAAACCCTCGACAATTTCACTATCCTCGACGGCGGTCTGAAAAGAGTCCAACCAGTGCAGTGCAAACGCCGTGTGTGCATCGCCGGTTGGTGCAAAATAATAGGGATATGTCGAAATACATTTCGTCGTTATAGCAAGTGCAAGTCGGACGGGGTCGTCCGTGGCCGTCATGGTCAATGGGGATTGTTGAACCCGAGACCGGAGTATGTGAGCATGCTGGCTCGTGTGACAAGGTTCGTGGAAGAACATGGAGATGCTATGCCTAACGAAATGGTTGTAAGGGGGACCTCACAAGGGCCCAAAGTTAGGCTCCCTGCTTATTTCACGAAGCTCCTTGTATACGAGTCTATCAAGGCGGACTTGGAAGCGGCGGGTCAGACCGTCGTTTCGGAGCAAGTCTTCTACTCAATATGGAGGAAGTACTTGTGGCATGCCGACCTTGCCAAGTCCAACTCGTTCACAAAGTGTGGAGAGTGTGTCCGCCTTAGACAGGCCAGAGACAACGCCTTGCTCCTTCATGACCGGAGGGTCGCCGTAAACCGGCTCGTGCAGGTTTCTCCTGCAGACACGGCTTCCTGAGGTGTAGAAGTTCCGACCGCACATGGCATAGTTCCAGTTACCACCCGAGCAAGGACCATAGGCGCAGGCCCCAGTGTTAACGAAACGTGTCGTTTTCTCCACACTGCAGCACAACAAGATCATCCGGGAAGGGAGGGGGGAAAAGAAAAGCAAAAAAAAAAACAAAAAAAACAGGCACACGTCAGGATCCCACTTCGTACTCCAAAACCCGGATGGGACAAAAAATCAAGGACAACTAGCTAAGGGCGAAAAAAGGCCAACAACAATTTCGGATTGCTTTTCATCAACGCTGATAGTTCGACAATGCAGTTTCGGTAGAAAAGGAACCGTGGGGGACCCCCCCTTTTTTTTTTTCTTTTTTTTTTTTAATTTGTTTTTGCTCCCTTAGCCCGTCTGACACGACGGCCGACCCCTGTAGTTATCACACCCCACGTGACACGACGGCCGCTGTACTTTCATAACATTTTTTAACTCGGTGGCTGGTTTCTTTGAAGGTGCATGTTTTAACTCGGGCACCCATGTGACCAGAAGAAGCCTTAGGGTACCCAAAGCATAATTTGCATTCGAAATAAGCGCAAAAAGCTACCGTCTTCTACCGAATCGAACGAAAGGTCATTATTGCCCCAAATACAGGCATAATGACCGTACGTTTTATTTGGGGGACGAAGGTAGAGAACATACGACAGAGATGGCTGCGAGATGGCTGGATGGTACACGAACGCTGCTCGGAACGCATGTGACATGATGAACAGATGTAAGCAGTTCATGTCCTGCTGGTCCGTGCTGGATGTAGCATTTCGCTTTTTTTTTGTTTTTCGTTTTAACATTTAATCATCAAAGATCCAGTCAACAGTCCAATCGACAGTCCAATCGAAAGATTCAATCACCTATCCAATCAAGGAAGCAACCAACGACACAAGAGTGACTTTAGCAATCGCTGAGACCCGAGACGGACAGACAACAATAACTTTATTATTATTATTATTACTCTTTTAATGTGCGTCGTCCTTGCGCAGGGGCCATTATAATCTTCTCTGTAGCCTTCCAATTTTAACGCATGTCCTTCGACTTCACGTGGGAGGGGACTGTTAATTTGGGTTGGGGTGGTCAGAGGCGGAGGAGATGGGGCAGAGTGGGGAAGACAGGACGGCCACTCACCTCCCCGATCCCTACGTCTGCTCGACCTTTTTTTTTTTTTTTTTAAATTTGAGGGTCGACATGCTGGACAGCCTGGACGATTTTCCAATTACAAAAAAAAAAAAAAAAAAAATCGGGAAAATGATGAAGAGCAACTGACCACGTCTCAGGCAACTCATACACCTGTCTCTTATACACATCTAGATGTGTATAAGAGACAGAGATTGCGACCCAACTAGATGCCCTCGAAACGAGTAAGATGTGGTTTATCGACAAATGCGAAGGGTGTCGACAAGTGCGAACTAACTCGCAGCTCTGTAGACAAGACAACAATGGCAACCCGCTGCACTAGGGGAAAGTGCGAACTGACTCGGAATTGTAGAACTGAAGACCTGAAAGATGCACGAAACGAGTAAGATGTGGTTTATCGACAAGTGCGAATCGACAAGTGAGAACTAACTCGCAGTTCTGTTGACAGGACGACAATTGCAACCCGAAGTACAACGGGAAAGTACGAACTGACTCCGAATTCTGGAACTGAAGTCCTGGTTTATCGA